TTCCAGAACTGTGAAGGCTTTTTTAGATGTTGTTTGGCAAACTCTAATCTGGCCTTTCTGTTTTTGAGGCTCACCAATGGTTTCCATCTTGTGATGAACCCTCTGTATTCACTCTGGTGAAGTCTTCTCTTGATTGTTGACTTTGACACACATACACCTACCTCCTGGAGAGTGTTGATCTTGATCTGGCACACTGTTGTAAAGGGTGTTTTCTTCACCAGGGAAAGAATTATTCAGTCATCCACCACAGTTGTTTTCCGTGGTCTTCCGGGTCTTTTGGTGTTGCTAAGCTCACCAGTGCGTTCCTTCTTTTAAAGAATGTTCCAAATAGTTGTTTTGGCCACGCCTAATGTTTTTGCTATCTCTCTGATGGGTTTGTTTTGTTTTCTCAGCCTAATGATGGCTTGCTTCACTGATAGTGACAGCTCTTTGGATCTCATCTTGAGAGTTGACAGCAACAGATTCCAAATGCAAATAGCACACTTGAAATGAACTCTGGACCTTTTATCTGCTCATTGTAATTGGGATAATGAGGGAATAACACACACCTGGCCAAGGAACAGCTGAGAAGCCAATTGTCCCATTACTTTTGGTCCCTTAACAAGTGGGAGGCACATATGCAAACTGTTGTAATTCCTACACCGTTCACCTGATTTGGATGTAAATACCCTCAAATTAAAGCAGGCAGTCTGCAGTTAAAACACATCTTGTTTGTTTCATTTCAAATCCATTGTGGTGGTGTACAGAGCCAAAAATGTTTTTTACACACTTGGCTACAGAGATAAAAAAAATCCAGCTCAAAAACCTTCATGGTATGCATAGGCATTCTCTAATGCTCTTGGGAAAATCATTCATCTTGCTAAGCCTGAGGCAGAGGAGCCCCGTAGATTGTAAGCTTGTCAGGGAAGAAAAGAAATTTTGCAGGCATTCTGAATGGTAATACAGTGAGTCACTGTCTACTCTATAGGGACAAAAGCTAAACAGCATTGTTATTGCAGAAATTAAGTTTTAATAAAAGTACTGTACTTGAACTAAGAATAACAACAAGTGCTTTGTCAGCACTTGAGTCATATATCTTTGTATTCTAAGACTACTGTTCAGTGTGCTCATGAACAAAAGAACCCTTACCGTAAAAAGCATTGAATGTGACATGGCCATGCCTGTCACAAGGTGGACTTAAAGCTCTGATCAATACAACTTTACATGATTAGTAGATGATAAGGTATACTATTTTGGGACTAAGATGTGCATCTGCATGGTAATGTACTTTGGGAAACCTACAACAAATGGCTAAATCTTTATTAAAAAATGTACAGTTTTTTTTTACCTTTCTAAACTAACTTAGTTATGCAAATAAAAAATCCACTTGATGTTAATGTTCCTTTTGTATTATTTTGCAAAATCTTGTATGTATGTGTTTATGTAAGTATAGCATGTAATTATATATGTGGGGGCAATCATATTTGCTTATTCATCTGGTTTTGTTTTCAGTTCTACACATTAGTTGTCCTTTAGGCCTCATTCAGATGGTTGCTGACCCAATGCAAGACTATAAGTTTGCTGACTCTGTTAAAACTATGCACTCCCAGTGTGGATCCCTTATCCCGACAGCTGTTAGACAATGTTGCAAAGTGACAGTTCATGTGTAAAGGTATCCATCCAACCAATTAAAACTCACTTTGCCAGAAACTGCCCAATGATCCTACTGCTGCCTAGTCAGTGAAATGGCAGGCTGCATTTGGAGCCGCTCACCTGCACAGCTTTCAAAGTCTGTATCCGTGCATCTTCTGCATCCCAACAGACATGAATAGGCTGCCTGCACACAGCACACATAAACAAGGCACTCATTCACAGGCTACAGGTGTCAGCACCCATCTGAATAATGCTGTAAGGGACCACCCAGCGGTACCTCTAGCAACCCACCGGTGAGGTGCTTCCAGCGTGCGGAATCTAAGTCCCAGAGCACTTGTTCACCAGGGCCCCTGATAGTGGGGATGGACTTGTAGCGCTCTGAGACCACGTCGCAGTTACTGGGCACACTCACCACTGGTAGGGGTATCCGCCAGGGGCTCCCACAGAGGAAGAGCCTAATGTGAGAAGGCTGGGAGATCCCGACGGGATGGATGGATGGCTGAGCGAGTGCGAGGTCAGCCAGGCCGGGTCGGTAACTATGGGGACGGTGCGGTACAAAGCAGCGGGCAGAGAGTAGTCGGGTCACACGCCAGGTCAACAACAGCAGGTCAGGTCCAATAGGGGGCATCCAGGAGAGAGGTCAGGCAAGCAAGGGTCAGGACAGGAGAAAACAGCAAGGTCAGGGCACAATCCGGGTCAGCAACTCACTTATTCACAGGTTCACAGGATAAAGGATACAAGGAGCCCAGAAGGCACTGAATGACAGCTCACGGCCATTTAAATATCCCGCCCTGCGCTGTCATTGGTGCCAAGCGCACGCCCGCGGTCTCTACCGCGCATGCGCGAACTTGATTGCTGCGGTCGGCCAGGTCCCAGTGCCCGCGTCCCTGCACAGGGCGGTGCACTGCGCCTGCGCCGAGCCCAGCGCTGCGGCGATCCCCAACAAATGCCTTGCTTCTCCTTATCACAATGTAAGACCATGAGCTAGCTCAGTGAAAATTATCACTGCACTCCCTGTGTGAATCGCTTATCTCAACAGGTGTTAAACACTGTTACAGAATGACAGTACATGTATAAAGGGACCCCTCCAACCCATTGTAACTCGATTTACAGTCAGGTCCATAAATATTGGGACATCGACACAATTCTAACATTTTTGGCTCTATACACCACCAAAATGGATTTGAAATGAAACAAACAAGATGTGCTTTAACTGCAGACTGTCAGCTTTAATTTGAGGGTATTTACATCAGAATCAGGTGAACGGGGTAGGAATTACAACAGTTTGCATATGTGCCTCCCACTTGTTAAGGGACCAAAAGTAATGGGACAGAATAATATTCATAAATCAAACTTTCACTTTGTAATACTTGGTTGCAAATCCTTTGCAGTCAATTACAGCCTGAAGTCTGGAACGCATAGACATCACCAGACGCTGGGTTTCATCCCTGGTGATGCTCTGCCAGGCCTCTACTGCAACTGTCTTCAGTTCCTGCTTGTTCTTGGGGCATTTTCCCTTCAGTTTTGTCTTCAGCAAGTGAAATGCATGCTCAATCGGATTCAGGTCAGGTGATTGACTTGGCCATTGCATAACATTCCACTTCTTTCCCTTAAAAAACTCTTTGGTTGCTTTTGCAGTATGCTTTGGGTCTTTGTCCATCTGCACTGTGAAGCGGCATCCAATGAGTTGTGAAGCATTTGGCTGAATATGAGCAGATAATATTGCCCGAAACGCTTCAGAATTCATCCTGCTGCTTTTGTCAGCAGTCACATCATCAATAAATACAAGAGAACCAGTTCCATTGGCAGCCATACATGCCCACGCCATGACACTACCACCACCATGCTTCACTGATGAGGTGGTATGCTTAGGATCATGAGCAGTTCCTTTCCTTCTCCATACTCTTCTCTTCCCATCACTCTGGTACAAGTTGATCTTGGTCTCGTCTGTCCATAGGATGTTGTTCCAGAACTGTGAAGGCTTTTTTAGATGTCGTTTGGCAAACTCTAATCTGGCCTTCCTGTTTTTGAGGCTCACCAATGGTTTCCATCTTGTGGTGAACCCTCTGTATTCACTCTGGTGAAGTCTTCTCTTGATTGTTGACTTTGACACACATACACCTACCTCCTGGAGAGTGTTCTTGATCTGGCACACTGTTGTGAAGGGTGTTTTCTTCACCAGGGAAAGAATTCTTCGGTCATCCACCACAGTTGTTTTCCGTGGTCTTCCGGGTCTTTTGGTGTTGCTGAGCTCACCGGTGCGTTCCTTTTTTTTAAGAATGTTCCAAACGGTTGTTTTTGCCATGCCTAATGTTTTTGCTATCTGATGGGTTTGTTTTGCTTTTTTTCAGCCTAATGATTCCAAATGCAAATAGCACACTTGAAATGAACTCTGCACCTTTTATCTGCTCATTGTAATTGGGATAATGAGGGAATAACACACCTGGCCATTGAAAAGCTGAGAAGCCAATTGTCCCATTACTTTTGGTCCCTTAACAAGTGGGAGGCACATATGCAAACTGTTGTAATTCCTACCCCGTTCACCTGATTTGGATGTAAACACCCTCAAGTTAAAGCTGACAGTCTGCAGTTAAAGCACATCTTCTTTTTTTTATTTCAAATCCATTGTGGTGGTGTATAGAGCCAAAAATGTTAGAATTGTGTCGATGTCCCAATATTTATGGACCTGACTGTATTTACCAGAGATCCCCAATGAACCAACTGCTGCCTAAACAGGCAAAAATATCCTGTAATTTTGAGTATTGGGAGTATGTGACCTCCATACATGTGACAGTGCTCTGTTCTAGAAACTCATCTCTATGCCCCCGGAACTGCCACGTGACATATGAATAAATGTAATTGCTTCTTTGAAACTTTCCATACTCTAGCCTGTGGGCTGAACAAAAATATTTTTAGATTCCTTGCTAAACAGTACAGATGGAAGAATCTCCACTGAAGCTATTGCACCAGTGGCTGTTAAAATGTCCTAACAGCAGCTATATCTGAATGGATGCAGCCACTGTTCAGCCAAATATTTTGTGTCAGAGTCCATCAGGAATGGGATGGAATTCACACAGTATATGGCTAGATTTAATGACCAAAAGGATCCAACACTGGGAATTTTGGTGCTGGCTGAGGCAGGGGAGCAATTGCCATTACACATGCAATGTCACTTTCTCCTAGATGGGCAAGGTAAAATGTACTGTTTTAAGCAGTTAGGCTCAGTTCACACTAGCTTTGTCAGCAGGCGTCAGACAGGCATTTGGGAAGCGTCTTTAACCACTTACTGTCCGCCTGCTGTTTATAAACTGCAGCACTCCAGGGGCGGGTTGCCGTTCATAAACGGCACCCGCCATTTCTAGCTGTGCGCACTCCCTGGGAGCGCGCGCAGCACCGCGATCCGATGCCCGCTGTGTCCTCTGGACACAGTGAAACACCGATCGTCGGACGGGATCCCGATCATGTGAACACTGATTGGCCAATCAGTGATCACATGCAAAGTAATAAGCAAGATGTCACTTGTGACATCATTGCTTACTACGTGTGAAATCTGTGAATGATCACAGAGGTCACATGGTACACGGCTATTCACAACAGCCTTGTAGCATGTGACAAGCTGTGACAATCACAGCTCACTCAGTATTTCTCAATGGCTGCAAGAATGCGGACAGAGAGAAGGAGAAAATGATTGCTTTTACATCCTATGTGGGTGTAAAAGCAATCACTGTAAAAAAAAAAAAAAAAAAATCATCACCCCCCCACAAGTAGAACAGTGACACCATGGTGACACTGTACTGCTAGGGTGACAGTATGTAAAAAAAACAAAAAAACAAATAATAATATAAAAAAATAAAATAAAAATGTAAAAAAAAAAAGTTTAAAAATTATAATTTGTGGTTATAAACTAATTTGGCTTATTTTTTTTTTACTAAAAAGATAACTGAATACATTTCGGGCCAAGATTTATGATGAAAGATTATTTATTTGCAAAATTTTATAAGAAACACTTTTTTTCAAAATTTTTTTGGACATTTTCATTTACATAGCAAAAAAAAAATAAAATTCCAGCGGTGAATAAATACCACCAAAAAAAAGCTTTATCTGTCTCAAAAAAAAGGTAAAAAAATTCATATGGGTCAGTGTTGCATGACCGCGCAATTGTCATTCAAAATGGCTGAAAGCTGAAAATTGCCCTCATATGGGTGTCCGTACAGGAAGTGTTAAAAATCTGCACATGCAGCACACAGTGCTGTTCACACTAAAGCGTTTCGCGTCACATTCAAAACTAATGCCTATGTCGCGTCTATAAACTCCCATTCACGTCTATGTCGGCAAGCCTGGCAGGCGTTTGCGGTGCGGTTGCGAGGAGGTTGCGGAGCGTTGACACCATTAAACCGCCCCCGTCTGGCCGTTGTCTATAAACGGCCAGACGGTGGCAGTGCAGGGTTGGGTTGCCATTTATAAACGGCCCCCCAGCCCCCTGCTTGTGCGCACTCCCTGGGAGTGCGCAGCACCGCGATCCGGTGCCCGCTGTGTCCTCCGGACACTGTGGAACACCGATCGTTGGACGGGACCTCTCTGCAAGGTCCCGATCATGTGATCACTGTCAGTGATCACATGCAGAGTAGTAAGCAAGATGTCACTTCTGACATCATTACTTACTATGTGTGAAATCTGTGAATGATCACAGAGATCACATGGTACAAGGCTACTCACAACAGCCTTGTACCATGTGACAAGCTGTGACCAATCACAGCTCACACAGTAGTTCTCAATGGCTGAAAGAATGCAGCCAGAGAGAAGGAGAAATGATTGATTTTACAGCCTTTATAAGTGTAAAAGCAATCAGTGTAAAAAAAAAATCTTCATCACCCCCAAGTAGTACAGTGTCACTATGGGTGACGCTGTACTGCTAGGGTGACAGTATGTGACAGTATATAATAATATAAAAAAAAAATTAAAATGTAAAAAAAAAAATTAAAAAATTATAATTTTTGGTTATAAACTAATTTGTTTTTTTTACTAAAAAAATAACAGAATAAATTTTGCCCAAGATTTATGATGAAATATAATTTATTTGCAAAATTATATAAGAAAAAACACGTTTTTTCAAAATGTTTGGACATTTTCATAGCAAAAAAAAAAAAATCCCAGTGGTGAATAAATACCACCAAAATAAAGCTTTATCTATCTCAAAAAAATGCAAAACAATTCATATGGGTACAGTGTTGCATGACCCGCGCAATTGTCATTCAAAGTGTGATAGCACGGAAAGCTGAAAATTGGCCTGGACCGGAAGTAGGTGAAAGTGTCCGGACATGAAGTGGTTAACTTCATTATAGGCATTTGTGGTGCAGTTTTAACGCTTGGCAAACGCCTATCAACCACCTCAAAACCGCGCATAGGGCATTTGGGGAATGTTAAAAACGCTTCCCAAACACCTGCCTAACGCTATAGGGGCGATTGGCAAGAGTTAGAAATAAAGTCAAGTGTGAACGAGCCCTAAGACACAGTCATTGTAATAGATTATGTATCCTAACCCCAGTAGCTAATGTAGAAATCTCTACATTCAGTACCTTAAAGAACAGTAAATGTAAACACTAACTGAATGAGATTCAGTTTTCTAAAGTACTTTTATATCATAAATCATGTTTGTTTTTCTTTTAATCTTTCTTCTTTTTTTTTTCTCCATTATCTCTCATTGATGTTGATTTCCTCCAGCCTCTTTGTAGCTAATACCTGCTACATACATACACATACATTCAAGTGTCAGCTGCATGTCATTCCTGAACTAAACATACCTGCAAAAGTTGTCACCCTACAGTGGGAAACAAGCGACTTACTTTGAAACTATATTAACCTGTTAAAGACATATATGCAATTTTAATAGTTAGGTTTATATATCCACTTCCAGTTTGGGCCAATTATGACATTCCTCTCTTACATGTAAAAAACATTTTTTGCTAGAAAACTAGTTTGAAACCCCAAACATTATATATATTAAGCAAAGGCCCTAAGGAATAAAATGGTGGGTGGCATATTTTTATGTCACCCAATATTTGCGCAGTTTTTTTTTTTTTTTTTTTAAATAAAAAAAACTCTTTAGTAGGGATGCACTGATGCTGATACCGAGTATTTTCACAAGTATTCATGCTTATGAAAATACTCTCCATACCCAAAACCGACACTTTGTGGTGCGATTTGTGTACATATCAAATAATTGGTGCGAATTGCACTGCAAAGAATGGCATGTGGTTTGAATAGGAAATGTGGTACCATTCCTGTCTGAATCAAATGGGGTTTCCCCAATGCTCCTGTGTGAGTCCGCTGCAGAGTCTGCCCATGTAAAAGGGGGATACAAAATAAGTTACTTAAGGGTAAATAGGTAACTTAATAGGTAAATATGCGCTCATTGATTCTCAGAGGAGGCTATGCAGTGCAGACAGATGTATTACTTTTTTCTACTCTATCCAAAACTAGAATAAAGAAAAAAGTTCTGGCTTTACATACACTTTAAGGCCAACACCGTATTTAATTTATGCCATATTCATCAGATTGATTATGGAAAATGTCCACTCTTCAAAAAACAAAACAAACACGATCTTATTTTTTTTTATTAGCAGGAAAATCTAAAATGTAAAGTAATACAAATAATACACAAATTTGAATATCAGTAGATTCCAGAGTCAGTCTCCTGGCACTAGTATTTCAGAATAGATAGAGATTGTCTTCAGTTCCTGCGCTGATCCTAGCGAAGAAGAGTATGCATGCAAGGACTTAAGTTCACATTATGAAAGGATATCATTAGAGTCACAAGGACGGTTAGCGCGATAAAGGATTTAGCCTGAGCATTACTTTTAGCATCAGAAGCTCTGCTCCAAACACTACCAGGACTGATCTCCTAGTGTTGAAAGCAAATATACTAACAAAGAAGTATGTAACACAAATGCACTGCATATTTCATGACTATGATATAGTTCACAAAAAACAAATGAAAGGGAGTTCAAAACTGGATTTGCCAGCTTTCAACTCGGTCCACATTTAATGCAATAAAAGGATTTATGTAATGAATGCGGACTATGCTTTCACCCACATTCTAGCAGCAAGCAGAGTGTGCACCTAGTGTTTGGTGCAGGTGAGTGAGAACTAAGACACAGTGGTATGGGCTGATGTAAATTCAAAACTTAAGGTGATGTAGATTATTATTATTATACAGTATTTATAAAGCGCCAATAGTTCGCTCAGCGCTGTAAATTACAAAGGGGGACAGAACATGTGACAGAACAATACCAATACAATGCAAAACATGAGGGGATTGAGGCCCTGCTCTTTCGAGCTTACAATCTAGGAGGCAAAGGCAGTGTAAAATGAAAGCTTTAACTAGACCCCAGCAATGATTATAACTAATCCTGAATCATTTGTGGGTGTATATTTGTACAAGAAAGAAGTAATAAAAAAACTGGCTGCACATGGGGAACAGCAAAATAGCATACAGACCTTATGAAAGACCTTTATTCTCACCTAGTGATAGTACCGGCAGCATGTTTCCTGTCCAAGGGTGACAGATCACATACCGTACTATGTAGGAGCAGTGTTGTCAGTCTAGGACAGGGCTACAGACCACCTCCCACTCCCCTCAACATAGAAGAAGGTGTCCTGTAGTACACAGAGAGAGCCAGCTGAAAATAGTCATCGAGGACAAACTGCAGAGGAAGTTATTATCTCCCTAGATATCTGTCAGGAACATCAGGTATTTTTTGCACAATTTTTAAATAGATTTAGATATGTCAAAAAAATATGTGGTGCATCTATGCAATACATGCCCTCCCCTTGTTTTATCCTGTTAATTTTGTGGACTGTATTGTGTCAACCCCAGGGGCGGACTCACCATTTGGAAACTCGGGCACTGCCCGAGGGCCCGGAGTCAGTAGGGGGCCCCATGAGATGCCCCTGGTACCTTTTTCATAGCTTTTTTGAGTTTGGGCAAGGACACAGGGGCCCCATGAGTTGTCAGTCCGCCCCTGGTCAACCCTATCCAGTTGTCTTTTGCTAAACTACTTAATCGCAGCTCTTCTTCTCATCTTCACAATATAAGAATGAATTGATCTGTAGTCTCAAGATAAATATTGGGAGGGCTAGCTCCTCGAGATAAAATTCGAAGTGTGGATAGTATACAGGACAGCTCTGAAGTTCTGGCAAGATCAACAGATATCTTTTGTAGTCATCTCACACTTACAGTATAACATGCTTCCAATAGTAAATCAACAGCTTCACACACATAAGACTTCCCTGTATGTCCTCAGGTTTAAGCGGTTATACCGGGCCATGGCTGCAAAGGTTCCACCAGGACTGAACTTGGCACTTTCACCGACTGACCAGATCATCTCTATGGTCTAAGATAGGGGTCTCCAAACTTTCTAAACAAAGGGCCAGTTTACTGTCCTTCAGACTTTAGGGGGGCCGGACTATGGCCATCAGGAGTAGATATTATCCTGACGTCAGTGGGAATAAATCATGCCCCTTCTTTGGTGTCATTGGGAGGAATTGGGCCCCATTATTGTTGTCATTGGGCCCCATTGTTGGTCATTTGTGAAAAATTGTGCCCCATTGTTAGTGTCAATAGGAGGCGTTTTGCCCATAATTGGTGTCATGTGGAAGAATTGTGCCCCTTAATTGGTGTTAGTGTGAGGAATTATGCCCCATTTTTGGTATCAGTGGATGAAATAGTGTCCCAAGGGACAGATACAAGAAATCAAAGGGCCAAATCAAGCCCCTGGGCCGCAGTTTGGAGACCACTGGTCTAAGAAACCGAAAGCGATGAGGATTTTGCCACTTCCGCTTTTGCTCAGATGTAAACAAGCCAATACCGGCTTGTGAAAGCATTTGATCAAACCAGTCTTGGTTTGATCAGATGTTTTTAGGGCAGAGGACATACCTGGGATCTAATAGAACCCAGCTGTCTCATTAAAGAGAACCTGTCTGTAAGACTGGATTAAATTGATAGCAATGCAGCTTGGATATGAATTGAACTGTTTAACTGTGTCTTTTCCTTAAGCAGATTGCACAAGTCAGCTGACATCAAAGAAGACTGGAATAATACATGAGGCCATTAGCACATTGAACCCTTGGGGTGTTTACTGCCCAAACCTGAACAGAATGACAGCATGCCTCCCGGAGAAGAAGAGAACACAAGGACATCTTGTGGGATAATCTGCTCAAAATAAATTCCACTCTGAACCTTGGACAGGAATGAACTTTTGTGACCTTTTAGTTCCAGATATCTTCCACAAAGGATCAAGGACTTGATGGGCTGGAACACAGAGGGGCTGGAACACTCAATGCTGGAGAAGAGGCCTTGGTGTGTGTGAAAGATTTAGTGAGGATGTGTAGGATAATATAGATCCCCTTCCTTCCTCAGTCCATCTCCCTCCCCATTGTTTTACCCTGATTCCTTATTTGAAAAAACATTCTGTATTTATATCCTTATTTGTTAATAAACCCAACCTTTGTTGTAAGAGTTAGTCATCCTTCTTGGAACCAAGACACTCCAAACAGAGCACATTTTACACTGTCTCTGGTCATGCTATCACAAGGGATGTTATTGATCCCTTGTCATAGCAATGAAAGTGTCAAAAAAATGTAAAGAGAAAACACAAATTAAAAAAAAAAAATGAATGTGTCCTCCTCACCCCCCATGAGAAGGGTTCCACACACATATGTAAAGAGTTTTCGCACCACATGTGAGGTATCGCCACCAATGCTATAGT